GTATGCGTACATGTAAACAATTGTGATACTCATTTCGTAGACGAACAGTTGCTGAAATAAAACGATTGGGAAATTATATCATTATGTAATTTTGTCACTTTTGTTATTCTCCTTCATCATAAAAAATTGAATTTTAAATTTGATATATTAATACATCACAAGACTATCAAAGCATGACATTATAAGAAAATTGCAAATGTCACATCCGATTACACAATTTTCCTAAAAATATAAACTTGTTTAGGTATATGTTAACGATAATGGTCGATTATGTAGGTTTCTTTTTCTAGGTTTGACCAACGCCTTTAGATCTTTTCCTTTAGTAAGTACGTTTGCTTTAGGATTATTTTGATAAAATTTGAGAAAACCGTTTATGGCTTGTAATTGTAACAGTTGAGGAAATCTTAATTTCCTCCTGTAAAACTACATTCTGGAACTGCTTGACCATTAAAACGTTTAAATAAAATAATTGGCTATCGTTTATTCCAAATCTTTAGTTAAAAATCTTCAATTTTGAAGTTTTCGAGGTAGAACTGAACAATTGAAAAAACTTGGGCGGGTCTAAATGTCTACATTCGAGTGTATGATTGGTTGCATGTACAATATCCTGAAAATGCCATCGTAATGAAAATGTACCGTCCAAATTTGAACTGGCTAGTACAAACTGTTACATATAATAATCGATAACAGTTTCTATTCAAAAATTATCAATTAACGAGTTTCACCATGTGTTGAAGTACGTACCGATTTAATTTTATTGGTGGGCTTGGTATCCTGCAAAATTTTTTCTTCGATTCGTGAAAGTTGTGCGCTTTTTCCACAATTGCATTTGAATTAGCCCCAGTTAAAAACAACCATTTACTTTAATGAACGAACTCTCTCAAACTACATACTTTCAGGTAATATTAAAACAGGAACTGTGGCATTTTATGTTGTATGTCACCATTATTTATTGACGTAATGGCGACAACAACTTGCATACTTTTGTTACGTTTAGGTACGATATCTAAACAAATAAATCGTTTGGTTTTCATTACTTGTTACTCTTTATTTAGCATTGCAGTGTTAATAGCTGCTTACTTTCTTTGTACGTATTTGAAATTAGTTACGTACTATACGTAATCGATTAACGACATGTTTACTTTTGGTCAAAAGAAAGGTTTCAATTTTCATTACCAGCTATCCTTTTACCAGAGACCTTTTTAGTAGATAATAAATATGAATTGCATCTTTATTGTAAATGAAATCTGAATTTAATATCAACTCTGATACTATTTTGTCCATTATCTGTTAATTGCAATTATTATGACAATATTTAATTACATTTGCAGTGAACATCATATAATTCACGTGCCACTGATACATCAGCATCATCATCATGTCATCGTGAAAAAAGTTCATGTACCTGTACCTGTTGTAGAGAAGGTCATCGTCGTTGAACCCCATCATCATGGTTGGTGGTGATAAAAATAAGATTTTGGCAAATAATGTGTAGTTAAGGTAAGGAAAAGGAAGATTGGATTGGTAATTATGAAAAGAAAACAACCAGTAGGGTAAAATTATATAAGAACAAAGGCTTTCACGGCCGGAATCCATAGTAGAATGAAGATTTGGGCTATAGGGCCGTGGTCTAAGTGAACTATTTTGTCCAGACGTTTCGTCAGCTACTGCAGCTTAGATCCTCAGTTGTCAACGCAGCACTACCACTGAGGATGTCAGCCGCAGTAGCTGACGAAACGTCTGTACAGAATAGTTCATTCTTCTAATAGGGCAATTGTACCTTCAGAATTTTCTCAGCAATCCTAACATCAAATCCTATATAACGCACGTTTTGGCCTTATTGAAAGCACTCCTTTAGTGGGGAAAGAGATCAAAACAACCAAGACATCATCTTTCGGTGCTGAATTCAAATCTAGTCTCACTACTGAATGAGTCCAGTTTGGATTTTTTGATTTTGAAACGAGGATGTGTACAAATCTCGATCGATTATTTAGGATACTACTACAAAAAGAACCAAGAGGGTAACCTACAATTTCTAATTTCAAAGCCCAATTAGTTAAATTATTAAGGGCAGTCGGATTTCGGGATCAAGATATTTCAAAAATATGAAGTATTGGTGCATTTAGTAGACTTTTCGAGAAATCTAGAAGTGCTTTATTTGGATTTTGGTATTAGGATTTCTTTCAAGGGTGAAATTCGGGCCCAAAGGCGAAAATAGGGTTGCAAATCACATATGCAATTATACCTCTAGTCTTAGCATCCGGATCCCAATTTTTAGTCAAAAACTATTAACTTCTTTTCTATTTCAGCATTTGTAAATAAAGTTGAGAGAGAGGAAGTGAGTTATATATGTCCTAAAGTCTACCTGAATATTAGTTTAAGATTTATTGTAAATAATTATCTATATCATGACAACATTTTTTATAATAAATATAAAGATTAAAATTGTTTTTGTTTCATTAAGTCCCATTCTGTACCAGTGTCTACTCAATTTACTCGAATAGTTGGAATCGAAATTGTAAAAATGTCGAAAAGGATAATTATTCGTACATCTAATTAATTCCTTTCCGTTAAATATACCACAAACTTTGGCCCAGTCGGAACCTACGTACTGTCTATATTACTCGGATCATCTCAGCCGTGGATTTATTGTATCAATAGAAAAATGCTTAAAAGTGAGGTTCAATTCGTGGATGACAGAGAATGAAAATGTATTAATAGTTGCTGAGTCAGCGGGTCGCGTTCTTGCACGAGTACGGACTTGTTGATTGTGTGTTCTAATAGCGATAACAGTTTAAAAGTATCTCAGTAATAGAGTGTGTGAATGGTGATATTATTATTAACAATAAATTATTGTAATTTTGCTGAATTAAAATGGATTACAAAAGACGCCAACTACTGCCTTTGAATCTGGTAAGTTTCCTTGATTATCTCTTTGCAATTCTAAACCATGAAATTATTCTCGGTATTACTTATTTATTGTGTGGTACAATATTGAAGTAATTGATGCATATTTTTAAGACTAATGAATAATGTTATTTAATACACTACATCTGAAATTTGTTAGTTGGTGGTTTGATGGTACAATCGCTATTTAATGGCGTCATTGGCTTATAGTTAATCAGGGTTTGTGCGGGCAGTTTTCAGTAACTATTCTTCTACTCTCTCAGAGATGTCACAACAAATACGAATAGGAATTAATTAGTTTTCTCGCGTATGCGTACATGTACGTATGCATAATCCCAAGATAATAGTTAATATAAATTGATGAATAATTTGTTATCTACATACTTACATGAATGAATACCATAAAATACGTTTTAATGTTAGTTATAATAAGATGACGAGGTTAGTTTTTCATTTTTCAGGTACTTGAAATTTCAAATAGGTATTGTATCACTTAATTTTTGCATAAATATTTACAATACTGATGCTGTGTTTTCTTCTGGGCTTTTTGGCCGTGGTCCGTGGAATTTTGCTTTTCCAAACGTTTCGCCGTTCTTTACTGACGGCATCTTCAGTAGTGACTGGGCAGGTGGTGAGTCGTAAGTGATGATAAAACTTGAAATCAGTTACGACTTAGCACATGCCCAGTTACCACCGAAGATGCCGTCAGCAAAGAACGGCGAAACGTTTGGAAAAGCAAGATTCCATGGACCACGGCCAAAAAGCCGGGTAGAAAACACAGCATCGATAGACGCCGGCCGTGAAAGCCTAAGAACTACAGTATTTACAATACTCTCTAGATTTGTAGATAAGTTCAAGTTTTAGATGGAAAGTTTCGAAGAACATTGGGTAATTGTGTTTTCCACATTCTTTAGCATAAATCGAATGTGGTTTAGAATATCTAATAAAAACAAAAAAATTAATTTTGTACAATGTCCAAACAATATTTGAATTTTCATCTTGATCCCCTTCGCATACGCCCCTCCAGCTGAAAACACCTTTTTAGTGTTCTGCCAATCCACATCCCTCTCTCCGATTAGTGGTTGCATCGTTTACATTCCAGATAGTTTACCATTTTGTTGTTGAACTTTGAAAACTACTGAATTCATTCATTTATTTGCGTATTATGTAGACAGTTGACAAAATCAAAGAGCATATAAGTATAAACTGGTAATAGAGTGTAACAGATCTTTACCTTCTACACCAAAACCGACTCAATACTGAATAAGTGACTAGAAGACCGCAACAGACCAATAAAAATGAAAGCCCACCCGCTAAATGAACCCTAGCAACTTCAAAATTTTCTTCCTGGTAAGGTTCAAACATACCACCACCGGGATACACCGGATCCTTTCCTGGGAGGTGAGGCGGAGAAGGTAGTGTTGTTGTTTCAATTTCTTCGGATAAATCTGTTTGTTGTGGTATTAAATCTACTGTAGTTTCATCTATTCTCTCTGGGTTAAATTTTGGCGTTAGTGTGAAACGTCGTTGTGGAAACATTTTTCGTGGTCTTTGGGGTACGACGAAAATTGGGCGACGATGGCGGGGTTGCATTGTTCTAAGTTTTTTATAATAAACTTGTTGGAATCCAGCCTGATCTTCGCGTTTGGTGATTTCTAAGAAATCGTTCAAAGTATCTCCCCACCAGAGACCTAGATCGGCCCCCTTGTACTTCTTTCTCTTACTGAAATAAAATTAAATTTATTGGGATCCGTCAAATGGGAGGAGCCTAAAAGCATGGCGCCCATTAGGGAAAATTTATCGTAGTTCCTATAGTGGACCGTGCAATTTCCAAGTTTTTAAATTACGATAAAATGATAAGTATTGACACAATATGTGATTGGGCTGACACAAAGCCTCGGAAAGGAAATTTCGTTGAAGGTGAGCGTGTTTTTAATGTCAATCACATTATAAAATTCGGAAATAACAAATCCGGAAGCTAGCATTCAAATTCCGTCAAGTTTACTGCCTACTTTTTACAAACTTCGGATTTAAAAAGTGATTCACGTTATATAATTGGTGAGGTGATTCTGGGTGATTTAAGCAATATCATATCAATGACTTGCACGTGCAAAGCCGATTTAAGAGAACGTTGCAAACACATTATTGCAACTTTGTTGTATTGCAGCAGGTAGGTTCTTAACCTCAAAATACTTATATCGTATCATTAGAATTGTGTTAAATCAATTACACAGGAATAAATAATTTCTCACTTTATAATTTTAGTATGATTCTAGTTTTAAATATTAAGGTTATGGCTGATGGTAAATACTTGCTGAAATATAATCATGTGCATTAAAATGACGTGAACAAATTTTTATTCCGGAATTCACTTCTTTGATACCTACTGCTTTCATCCAAGCTTCTATTAGTTTACTTTTTTCTCTAATTTTCCGAATATATTTTTTACATATATAAAACGGTTAGTTTTTATTGGAAAGTAGTTAATGTAGGTGAAGAGTGAAGATCTATGTCTGAAGTGCTATTGCAGCTTTTCACTGAACATATTAACTTTTTATTTGATTTAACTTTAGAAGAAAACTTCGTCGACTCCATCATCAAAAAAATTTTTACTTTTTTACCATGTTTTATTATTTTAATAAACAATTTTACAATTTGCGTGCACAGTTCCTATGTAAATTTTTCCCTCATTCGAGTTATAAATTTTGCCACTAGATGGTGTGTGACCATTTGACGGATCCCATATAGAGCATAAATTTCTGCACGACGGTTTGATTTTACCCCACTAGTTATGGGAAATAACGTCAGCATTAAAACAATTATTATTATTTTTAGTAAAAATTATTGTTAATACTAATAACAACTATTACCCAGTGAAAGGAATAAAGCTCTCTTTTCTATTTGTTACGTTAACTTACATATTGGCTTCCACTAAATCCCTTTGTATTGCGCTGACGATTGCGACGATAGCAGTCCAATAAGCAGCTAGTCCAAGGCCTGCGTGGATAGGTATACAGCTCGCGCGTAAGCAACATGACACTGGACCACACATTAATAGAAGAATAAATTTTAAAAATCCGCAGGCCAGCTAGCAAAAAAGAATTTAGTGTAAAAATTCCTAAATATTAATTTCTATTTCTATTTGGATAGTTTTTAAATTTTCTACCTTGAAATTAGTAAATACAGTTGCTTATATCCATAAATTCTTTATTAACTTTGCGGTAAACAATGAAACAATTGCACCAACTGACTGATGGATAATACACAGCCTAGATATTTCAAATTTGGAGGGATTATTCCCTGAGTACTATAGGGGTGCATTAGGGAGCGACCCTTTCAATTTCGATTCCTTAACGGATTAAAACAGGTGCTACAGTGATCGATTATGCAGTCTGTATTGATGGATCAAAAGATTTGAAATTCGAAGGGATCATTTCTTGAGTACTCTAGGAAGTCAGACAAGTCTGGACGGAATGAGTAGTAGGGATATAAAGTAAAAGATAGCGCAGGGTCGAGTCGCCTTTAATAAAAATAGTCACTTCCATGCTCGCAAACGGTTAATTTAGAAATTTGTTTAGAAGATTGTTAAAGGTGTATGTCTGGAACGCGGCGCTGTATGGATGCGAAACATGGACAGTGAGCGCGGCGGAAAAGAAAAAGGTTAGAAGCGTTCTAAATGTGACGTTACAGGCGAGTAATGAGGATTACTGTGGAGGGAGAGTTAGGGGTTAGAAATGGGGATTTATTAGAAAGTGTAGGAGAACAAAGGACTCTATGGAAGGCATTAAGAAATAGGCAAGATAGGTTGGTAGGACATCTTCTTAGGCATGAAGGGCTAGTTAGAGATATATTATAACCAGAAACATGAGCTATACCGAGAATAGGTTAGTGTTCACAAATTGTTAAGGAAGTGGGTTATTCTAGTTTTGGTCCGTGCGCGCGAGGAATAATCTCTTTAAATGGGGCAAGGCAGATGACAATCTGTGCGATTGCGACCAGTTACAGGACCATTGGACACCTTTTTGAGTGCCCAATATTTGGAAAATTGGACGCGGCGAAAATAGCCTAGGATATAGATGGGGCAACTGTTAAGTGTTTACAGCACTATATTCCTTGAGTATTCTAGGAGTGTTATCAGAAGGGATTTATGAAGGGGTTAATTAAGATGACAAACTTTGGATTGGGAAACATTGACAATAAAAAAGTGTTTTTAGAACTTACAAACGATCAAAAGGAACAAGCGTTTTATTTTAAAAACCATTTAGAATGTAGCAAGAGAATAATTTGCGATTTAGTATCATCTTCTATTTCATATACACCGTAACAATCATTGTTCACACCGTTGGTGGCTATGTAAATAGGTGGGTTATATTACATGTTAATGGAAATTCTAATTATTATATTTTGAGTTACAAACCACAAGGGCGAATAATCCACAAGCAATCAAACCAGCCCAGCTATGGGTTGAATAAAAGTGCGGTCTTTCTTGTAGTTCGTTTATTTCGTAAGGGATGTAAACCCCATATCCTATAGCTACTGCCGCTGCAAGTAGAATGAAGATATGCAGCACCCTTAGAGATGAACGCTCACAACACGTGGATACTCTGTACATTGTTATACCTAAAAGTAGATATGAAATACACTTTTTATGATACAATTACAAATGTTAAGCCGCATTTTTGAAGCGAAACTTCTTTGGGCTCGATGGGAGTAAAATCTCAAGGCCATGAAACGACACGTTTTGCAACGTTTTGTCTCGCGACGCGGTAAGCTATGAGAATAGAAAGGCGCGCATGCGCATGCGCATATCTGCATTACAGTCAGTTGTTGGTGACAGGCATCTCATATATTATTGCATACTGTATATTCAGTGCTAAATTAATGTTTTGGTTATATCTGTGCAGTTATATGACAGTAAGTGTAAATGCCTTGAAAATTATTGATAGTTTACGGTTTCTTAAGCACTTGGAAAAATAAACCGAAGCGAAAAAAACTTGACCATTTTTTTTTATTATCGAATGATATAAAAACGTATCAAAGTAATACTCCTGAGGTGAACTAAAAATAAAATATGCTGGAAAGCATAAATCCTGAAAATTCTCGTACTCTCTCTTTCTTTCATCAATCATTACTTATTCATTATAAAGGAATAGAGATCACTAAAGAAGTTTCACTTCTTTCACATGTACTGAGTTGCACCTGTTTTTCTTTTTAAATTCAGTACTTTTAGATACAAACTTTCATGATAATATTGAAGTAATGATTGAT